GACTGGAGTGCAGTGGTCGCTCCCGGCTACCGCAGCCTTGACCTGCTGGGCTCCGGCAATCATTCCGCCTCAGCCTTCTGAGTAGCCGGAATTACAGGCACGTGCTACCACGCCCGGCTGATTTTTTTGATTTATTGTAGAGATGAGGTCTTGCTACCCAGGCAGGTCTCGAACCCGCGGGCTCAGGCAATCCACTCACCTCAGCCTCCCAAAGGCGCGGGATTACAGGCTGAGCCACTCAGCCCGGCTGTAGTCTTACTTTAAACTACAGTATTATTTGCTTGTTGCTAGTGGATTGAGGGGGAATTATTTTCTTATTGTGGCTCCCATGTTGGGAGCAGAAGTTTTTCTCGTCCTGGTCACATGAAGACAGATAATGTTATTGATTGGTGTTGAATTATTTTTATATCTTGTTTGGAACAGTCTAGAAGCTACTGAAATAGGACCTTGTATAATACAATTAACATGTAAACCCCTAAACCTTCAAATTAGACATTTAAACAAAATGACCCCATATCTAAATTAAGCTAATTAAAAAAATTTTTTACAGTATTTTACATTTTCTAATCTGAACCTATATATAACTGACTAGTTCATTACTGGAAGTGTGTTGTCCCTAATCTTTTCTAAACAGTATAGCTGCAAAAAATCATGCACTTTTAAAAATGAATTTTGAGAAGCCATAATAAAAGAAAGCTGAATAACAATAAAGACTATAGCAGGCACTTGTATTTAAGCCATGTAGCTGAATTTTCATTTGTTAGGCTTCTGTACTTTGACATAGCATGATATATTAATGGTAAATGTAAAGTAAGAGTAAGTTTTAACTTAAACAGTGTAGACAGGAGGTGTGCTATGAGCATTCCGCAGGAAGATATGGGGTAAACTTGGTGTGGAATAAGTAAAATATTGGATATACTGAGCAGTTCAACTCTGTTTCTCATTTGTTAACACAACCAGAGAACATAGACACAAATTGCTATAATTACCCCTGTTACCTTGATATAATGAGACCAGAGAGTTGACGAGATTGTCAGGGAAAGGAGGCTTCTTAAAGCCACTTAGAATTTTGGAAAGTGTGGAAAAGCCTTGCCACAATCATCTGCTGGGTGGATTTTGGCTGTATTGGATGGTGTTGAATGTGAGTCTGTACTGAGGTAGAGTGAGAGCCCTCCCTTCACTATCTGTCAGCACCATGACTACAAGAGGACACCTCTGACAAGCAGACAGGATGAACTGTCATGACTGGGCAATCATTTCCTGACAGACCTTTCCAGGGCATAGTATAGCAATTCTCATTTGCCAGAAAGGTACAAAGAGAAATTTCTAGCATAACAAACAAAAAAATCAAATCACGTTGCCTGAATTTATTTTCCAAGTCAAACAATCCTTTTCAGTTAAACGTTTAAATTTGAACAGTCTATTTGGATATTAGGCAGTGTTTTCAAATAGAACTTGAACCTTTCACTTGCCTAAAAGTTCTAAACAGACTGAGATTCATGGTTGCCTCACACTTTGTTTTTGGAAATGACCACTGGTTTAACAAGGTTTTAGGGCAGCATAGTGGCTAAGAGCTTGTGTTCTCAGGCCAACTGTCTGGATTTCAATGTCTACTCTATATTTTACTAAATGACCTTGGGAAGTTACTTTGTTTCTCCAAGTTTTAGTTTTCTTATCTGTAAAATGGGGATAATAGTAGCACTCATTCAGGGTAGTCTGAGGATTAAATGAGAAGACGGATGGTATATAGAAGGAATGAGGTTAGAGCTACCCATTAGTGAGAATTAAATAAGACTAAAATATTGAGCATAGTGCCTGTGACATAGTGAATAGGCAATAATGTTATCTGTTGTTTGAAAGGTTTTGAATATCTTCTTTGTTTCATCTGTTTGTCAGATCCACAGAAATTGAATTTTTTTTTTTTTTTTTTGAGTCAGAGTCTCACTCTGTTGCCCAGACTGGAGTGCAGTGGCACTCATCACAGCTTCAAACTCCTGGACTGAAGGAATCCATCTTTCTCAGTCTCCCAAGGAGCTGGGACTACAAGGGTGCACTATCATACCCAGCTAATTTAAAAAATTTTTTTGTAGAGACAAGGTCTCCCTATATTGCCCCAGCTGGTTTCAAACTCTTGGGCTCAAGCAATCCTCCCATCTCAGCCTTCCAAAGTGCTAGGATTATGGGCATGGACCACCATGCCCAGCCGGAATTGAATTTATATGATCCAGAGAGAGTGGTAAAACTAAAACTGAAATTAATAATTTCATCATATGTATTAACTTAGTCACTGCCCTGGTTGAGACTCAGAATCTTGTGGTCATCTTTACCTCTTCCCCCTCCTCTACCCTCACTGTTAATTTCTGGGTAAATCCTCTCCATTCTCCATCATGTTTTCCCATTCTCTGTTGCCACCAGTCAGGTGATTTACAAACTTGGCTACACATCAGAACCACCCCAGGAGCTTGTGACAAATACAAATGCCAGAGATCCTGGCCTAGTCAATCTCTCTCTCTTTCTCTCTCGCTCTCTGTTTTCTAGAGATGGGTCTCACCATGGTGCCCAGACTGGTCTTGAACCTAATTTAACCTTCAGCTTGCTACCCACTCCTGCATTGTTCCTAGATTTAGATACAGCGTAACCTTAGTTCATAGATAAACCAAGGCCTCTCAGAAAGAGTGATTGTCTTGCTCTCTCGGGAAGTTCATTGCAGACCACTGCCAGAATCCTTGTCCTCTTGAGATACAGCCTTGGTCCTGCCACTCCCCAATCAGAAACTTTCAGCAACTCCCCTCTGCTTTCAGATTAAAGCCCTAACTCTTGAGCTTGGCATTTAAGGCCCAAGTTTATTCTTCATCCTGAGTCCTTTATTTCCCGTATATGTTCTGCACTTTGCTCTCTGTTTATGTTCTCGCTGACATGGCTTTTCACCCTGTGTCTGTCAGAAGCCAGCCATGGAAGCCTGCCTGCTGACAAAGTCCAGAGGGGCTGAAGACCCCAGGTCGTAAAGTGAACCTGGGCAGCTGAGACCCTTGCTTCTACTTTTGTTATTGGTGCAGCCAAAAAGTTCTGTACAGTCTGAGGATGGAAAGCAAAATTCCATTCACGCCTCCACTACACCTTGCAAAAAGGCAAGAGGGGAATTCATGAAAAAATTACTTTCCCTTCATTTGAATTCCTCCCTAGGTTTCCACGTCCCCGGCCTCCTGGTATTAAACCATACAGTCACTTGATTAAACATTGTAGTTGGGAAAATTGTAAAAAATCAGAAAGTGCTTGATCAAACTCAGTGAGTTTGTCAGGGAACTCACTGGCCTCGCCAGGAAATTATCAATAGAGACTTTAAATATCATGTGTATGTAGATAATTACTTGTAAGATTTTATTTCTTCTGATTGGCAACTAATTGGAGAAATTTGAGAAGCTACAGTTTGTATTTTTAGGAAAAGTGCCAATGCAAAAATTACTTAATTTCTTAATTTCTACATGAGGTGTATTATGCTTAAAAAAATTAAAAATCACATAAATATTGGAGCACCCTTGCCTTTACTTCCCTTTGTTAAGGAGGCTTGTAATTCTGGTTAGGGATTGTGACTAAGGTGACTTGAGCCTGAGAGGCCTTTTGTTTTGCAAACGTTGAAGCTCATTCTCTCTGGCAGGAAATAATTAACGCAGATTGTAAACACCACATGTGAAATTAGGGAAAACTAGTCAGGTCAACTTGCAGCTCAGAAACCTTGAAAATGTTGTTTTACCCCAGCTAGTTGCAAATTGCTGTGTGAAGGTCACAGGTGTGACTTGCTAATCTATGTGACAATTATCGTGCTTAGAACTTGGTAGTGATTTATAATATGATAGTTATAGGAATAAGTAAGTTTTTGCATGAACATTAAGAAATGGTAATCATTAAATGTTAGAAGTGCCGGGCTCAGTGGCTCAGCCTGTAATCCTGCACCTTTGGGAGGCTGAGGCGAGTGGATTGCCTGAGCCTGCAGGTTCGAGACCTGCCTGGGCAGCAAGACCTCATCTCTACAATAAATCAAAAAAATCAGCCGGGCGTGGTAGTGCATGCCTGTAATTCTGGCTATTCGGGAGGCTGAAGCAGAAGGATCACTGGAACCCAGCAGGCGAGGCTGCGGTGGCTGGGAGCGGCCATTGCACTCCAGTCTGGGTGACCGAGTGAGACTCCACTCAAAA